CCGCTCCCATTTGCCGCCGCCCCCGCCTCTGCGCACCGGGCGGAGCCAGGCCCGGGCCTGGGGGCGTGCAGCGCCGAGCACGGCGCGGCCTGCTCCTCCGGGCCCCCGCTCCTATTGCAACGCCCCGCTTTGTCTTCACCTTCACCCGTCGGTGGCGCGGCGTGACGTCGCCTTCGTTTGCATGGCGTCATCTTGATGGAAACGCCTTGCTTCTCACTGGCATGGCGTCATCCAGATTGGCGTGGGGTGACCTTTATTGGTGTGGCGTCGTTTTGATTGGCGCGGTGTCATCTTGATCGAAACACCTTTATTCCCATTGGCCTGATGCCATCTCTGTTGGCGTGGGGTCACTTTTATTGCTGTGGCATCATCTTGACTGAAACACCTTTATTCTCATTGGTGCGGCATCATCTTTATTGGCATGGCATCATCTTGTTTGAAACGCCCTGATTCTCATTGGCGCGATGTCATCTTTATCGGCCTGGCGTCATCGTGGTGGGCGTGCCACTCTTTTATTTGCATGCCGTCATTTGCATTCTCACGCCCTTTGTTTTACTGGCGTCATCTTTCTTGCCGTGGCGTCATCCTTATTTGCGTGGCGTTATTTTTATTTAACTGCCCTTATTGCCATGGCATAATTTTTATTGGCGGGGCATTATAGTTTCATAGTTGGTAGGGTTGGAAGGGACCTGAACAGATCACGTCGGACCCCCTGCCCGTCTTTATTTAAACTGAATTACTTTTATTGGTGTGGCGTAGTCTTTGTTGGTGTGGCATCATCCTTATTTGCATGGTGTCATTTTTATTTAACTGCCCTTATTGCTGTGGCATAATTTTTATTGGTATGGCATCATCTTTATTTAAACGGCCTCATTTTTATTGGTGTGGCATCATGTTTATTGGCATAACGTCACCTTTATTTGCATGGTGTCATCTTTATTAAACTGCTTTTATTTTAGTGGCGTGGCATCATCTTTGTTTAAACAACCTTATTTTTATTGGCGTGGCGTCATTTTTATCTGCATGGCCTCATCTTTATTTGCATGGCCTCATCTTTATTTAAATGGCCTTATTTTTCTTGGCATGGCATCATCTTTCTTTGCATGGCATCCTTATTTAGCTGCCCTTATTTTTACTGGCATGGCATCATCTTTATTTGCATGCCATTATTTATCTCCATGCCAATATGTTATTTGCATGCCATTATTTTTATTTGCATGCCCCTATTTTATTTGCATGTCATGATTTGTAGTTACATCCCCTTATTTTTCTTTTCGTGTCATGATTTTTCTTTGCGTGCCTTCATTTTTATTCGTTTTATCAATGACATGCAGTTATGAAGGGCCATCATGCACAGAGTGCTTGTGCAGGTGCCGTCACCCCCTCCCCTGGGCCAAATGCCTGCCCTTGCCCTCCAGCTTGACCCATGGCAGAGGTGCCCTGTGCCAGCCCTGGAGCAGCCACACTCCACTGGACCAGGGGGTTATTCATGGACGCAGAGAGCAGCGGGGCTGGAAGGGACCTTCTGAGATCATCTAGTTCAACCCTCTGCCTGAAGGAAGCCTCTGCCCCAGCGTGGCACAGGAGACTGGGCAAGATGGGCTGTGGTCCATGGTCAATGGCTGGTCTTATGGTCTGGCCCAGTAAATGGCAGTTCTGATATTCTCATATGTTTCACGGTAAGATGGTTCCCTTTGGAAGCGCCTGGGTTCTCCTGCAAACACGTAAGCACCTGCTTAACTTTAAGCTGCGTGCACAGGGCCCATCAAAGCAGAGTGCAGTCACATCAATGGGTGCACCTAAAAGTCATCACGTGCATAAAGGCTTCCAGGACCTGGGCTTAAATGTGCTTTTGCATGTGTAAGTTAGGGTGGGTAGTGCCTAGGCTGGGGTTTTTTGCAGCATATAAGGCAAGTGTAGAACTTCAGGGGGCACGGTGCCCTGGTTACACCATGCAGCTGTCTCAGAGAGGTTGGAGGAGAAGAAAGCACGTGCTGCGTCTAGACCAGTGGTTTTCAACCTACGCCCCGTGGACCCCTGGGGTCCTGCAGACTATGTCTAAGGGCTCCATGAAAGATGGCTGTGATCAATCAACAGTACGTGAATCCCCACACTTAGAGTTCAAAGGGGCCCACGCCTCCATTTGACATTTTGTAGGGTCTGCAAATGACTAAAGATTGAAAACCCCTGGTCTAGAGCCAATGCACCTGGGTGTGCAGTGAAATGAAGTTTCCTGTTAGAAAGGCACAGCCATGATTTTTCTGTGCATCAAACAGGCCTGTTAGAAAGGCAGAGAGGGGGGATCTGTGATACGACTCTCTGCTGAGCAGGGCAGAGATCTCAGTTTCTCATCCGATATCGCTCAGCACAGGGCAGGTCCTGCCCGCTGCAGGTGAGTGCATGAATAGCACTGAAGCAGGATCGGGGCCAGGCGGGCTGGCACTGCTCAGCCCCGTTCATTTAGTCCTGCGTGCTGCACCTGAGCTGGGTGTTGGACTTCAGTGGGATAAAGCTCTGCAGCTGGAAGAGGGTAGACAGGCTGAGTGTTGGGTGGGGTTTTCCATCTCTCAGATGCATTGAGAGTTGGCCGCAGCCCAGGCTGGGGGTTGTGACTGGGCAGTGCTAATTCCCCTGCCGGGATGTCAACCTGGAGGTCCCTGGCTAGAACATCTTGCCCCTCTGTTTGGGGTCAGGACGGACTTTGACCCCCTGATTAGATGATATGGGCTGTGGGGGTTGTATTTGCGACTTTTACAGCAGGGGGGCATTGGCCACCACAGTCCTCTGCTTTCCCTGGGGCAGGTTCGGGTGCTGTGCTTTGTGGCTGCGTGACAGGGGCGCCTATGTAGTTTTAGCAATAGGCTGGACGAGGATTTGCGCGGGCTGCTTTACATTGGGACGACGCTGTCGCTGAACTAGGGGACGGCTGGCACGGCTGGAGGTGCCTGTGCGGCCTGCCTGCCCGTGGTAGGGCTCCTAGAGCTCAGGGGAGTGGGTGAGCCAAGGCTCCCAGTCACCCTGCAGCAGAGGGGTGCAAGGTAAAGCAAGTGAGAGAGGACCTGTGGCTGCCTTGGCGTAGTTAAGGGTGGGAGGAAGGGGTTGGGGTCGGACGCTGTAGTGACCGCCGGGTGTTTGGTGGCACAGAAGGGGACGCTGAGGCTGGCTCACTGCATCTCCCCGACCCGAGGGGGTGCAGACTGACTGCAGGCAGCACTGTGAGCCAGGCCTCGTTCCTCTCCTCGCGCACATCCAGGAGGGAGGAGGTGGGACCCATCTGCTCCAGGCAGCGTGGGAAAGCAGGGGGTGGCCGTGGCGGGCATCTTGGCACAGACAGGCTGCGCGGCTCACGGAAGGGATGCTGCTGCCCGTCACGCCTGCATCTCCCACTGGCTTCCTCTGCTCTCCCCCCTCTAGTTTCTTGCTGCATGCAGACGGGTTTGTGCTGGGACAGGCTTTCCTTGCTGGAGCTCTGACACCCATCCAGCCTCCCCCGCTTTGGTCTTTGCACTTAGCCCTTCAGGTAAGGCCTCACTCCCCCGGCATCATTTATTTTTACCCTCTCAACCCACAGATTCGGATGCTTTTTAAGTTATGTCAAGAGCTGCAGACTGTTCACAGGGGCGATTCGCGACGGTGCTGGGCTCCCCAGAGGCTGGGTGGCTTCTCTCCCTTACTCCTCATTTCCAATGCTGGTGCTGAGGCCACCTGAACATGGTTCGGGGAGGCAGGGGGTAGTTTTCTTTAGCTCCTGTGTTGGAAGTATCAAGTATGGACTAAAAAGAGCCCAGCTGGGATTGTCTCCAGGAGCACGTGCGCAGTCTATCGCTACGTGCACGAATGCCTCCTTATTGGTGACGTGGGCTCCGAAACAAGACACAACAGGAGCTCGCGGCTTCCGAGGAAAGCTCCCTCTGGACTGTTTTGGATGACGGCAGCTGCGTTCTTTATATCTGATGAAGCTGTGTGGGTTTTTTCCCTGAGATATTATTGCACAAAACACCTCCAGACACATGGGGCACGAGCATCCCCTATACATGGCTTTGTGCCGGGTTGGTTGCCTATGTGAAGAAAGCCATCGAGGCTGGAGTAGAT